AGGAATTTGAAAAAGATACCAAACTCCAGAAAATTCCCCCATATTCCATAATCACAATCTATCCAGAGTTGAGTCAACTGGACGGACAGGAGATAAAACCTTACAATTCACCAGGGAAGCAAGAGGCTAAATCCACCCCACACCCCAAACAAACAGAAAACTGATATTTAAGTGAGTTGGGAAAACATCATTAAACCAAGAGTAGCCTCTGGGGGAATGTTCTGTAAAGGGCCAAAATCTGTGCCCTGGACATCAGGTGGCTTTCCCTGGGGAGGTRGGTTTTCTCTGGGACCAGGCCCTGGAATTAACCTTTATTTGGTGGAAACATGGGGTAACCAGCCTGTTAAGAGCCACCCTGACCAGCAGGGGGCAACAAAGGGATTTCCTGGGGAATGTATAAATTTCATTGGTCATTCTTTCCTCTTAAATGACACAGGAGAGTCTCCATTATTGCATTGCAGAGGCATAGGGTTAACTTTAATTCAAAGTGTACAATCTCTCTGAGATCGCCTTTAAATTTCTAACTCAAAAAGTTCTTCAAAGAAAGCCCTGGAATGTTCCAGAAGACATCAGTGGGGTGAGGTCCTGTATGTGGCCAAAGGTCACCTTCACCTTTTTCAATTCCAGTTAATAAAGTCTTGCAGCCTTGTTTCATTGGGAGCTGAAGTCTGGCATATTTTCAAATCAGTGCATTCAGGAATACAGTAAGATTTCAACTATCAGGGTAGGCACAGAACTTGGACAATCTAAACCAGTAATTCCTACAATACTTGGTCAACTTGGAATAATATTTTTATGTAGCTGTTATTTTGAATTAACAGATAGGGAGTGAGCTCTTTATTTCTCAGGCTTTATGAAATGCTAATAACAATATTTTAACATTTACTAGGGCTTACTAGGTGCCAGACACTGTGCTAAAACATTGAATCCTCACAAAACCCTAAGTGCTAAGAAAGTTAGGGTAACTTTTTTTCTGCATCCAGGACTATACAGCTAATTTGGTCTTTTGCTATATGTAAAAAAACTTGGTGTTCCATTTTTTGTTGAAGCCAACAAGAATGAAAGGAACTCACCCTCAGCTTTACAGAACTATCAGCTTCCTAAATGAGTATGGATCTATTTATGTTCACCCACTTAGTTACATGAAGATGCTCTGCAACCTCATAGGGAAGGGTAGGATTTAGAATAAAGCCAATATGGAAATTAAAACATTTTCAAATAAATAAAACAATCCAGGCTTGGGATAGTAACACATACAACATGGCCTGTCGTTAACAAAATATCTTTTTTTTTTTCTTTTAATCAAGAATGTTTGAAGCCAGGTACAGTGGTACATGCCTGTAATCCCAGCTACTTGGGAGGTAGAGGCAGGAAGATCACCAAGTTCAAGACCAGCCTGGGCAACTTAGCGAGACCCTGTCTCAAAAAATAATTAAAAAGGGATGGGGGGAACTGGGGATGTAGCTCAGTGGTAGAGCACTTGCCTAGCACGTGCAAGGTTCTAGGTCAATCCCCAGTACTTAATTAAAAAAAAAAAAAAGTTGAGGGGCATAGGAGAAGGTAGCAGTGTCTAACTATATACAGTCTAGGTAAACCACCTTGGTCTGATCTAAAAAGCACACACCCATCTATAAACTACAGCTTCAGTCAAATCCATTTCATTGACACTTGCACTTCCAGTGAATTATACTGCAGCTGTACTCCCAAAGGAGTAATTATTCACCTTCATTAAATCCTGCATTCATTCATCCACCAAGGAAATTAAAAAAAAAAGGGGGGCACAGAGTCTTCCACTTTCGTGATACTAACCAGCCCAAGTATTACCAGGCTACTGCTTCAGATGAGTTCAATGCAATCCCTCCCTGGGCTGGTCTCCTGCCTCAGCCACATCTCAGCAAGTGACAGGGTAGCAGGCAGCTTAGTAACTAGCAGTCCCAAGACAGACTCACACTGTGGCCCAGTCTGGAGGAAGCCAGCCCTTCCCTTGGACTTCTCATGATTTCATACCCTCCTCGGGGGGGTGAATGTGCCTGATACACAGACTGTGGCCTAGGGGCCATTTCTGGTGCCCATCCGGAACATCTCTAGTCACTCAAGGACCTAACACTCCTCAACAGCACCCAGATTCCAAAAACCAACCCCAAAGAAAAGTGAAAAGGCACAGCAGGAAAATAAACATCACCAAGAGACAGACTCTAACATTCCAAACACACAGCAAACACAAAAAGTAAACTATATTAAGCACTGACAAAAACCCAATCAAAGCAAAAATGCAAAAAGCATCTCCATTTGTACATGTGCAAATCAAATTGCATACACAAAATAAATGAGGTGTTTACTGGCATTCAAAGAAGTGTGTTTTCCCTTTCCGGAGTGTTTACTCTGGAAAGTATTTACCTTACAAAGGAAAGCTTTCTCTTAATAAATTAGATGTTTTTCCCTTAAGATTTTGTCTCAAGATCACAATGGGAAAAATAATTCCAAAGGCCAGGCAAGATATGGTTATAGCACAGGAAAACATCAATCCTGATTTCGGATCTCTCTCCCTGTGGATTGGTTATCAATTACAAATCAGTTTAGGTTTCCATATAAAAATAGCAATGGTAAAACTGCTGCAGGCGCCCAGCCCACACTATCAGAGGCACCATCCTTTTTCTTCTTCACACCCCACACTGGGCCCATGGAAGCCCCTCCCCAGTTTCCCCTGGAGAACCCAACTTGGAACAAGTCATAGGAGGTCTCGGGGCTGGTACACATTCAGGTGTCACCAACTCCATCAACAATGCCCTTAACAACAGGAGTGTGGGTTACTTTGCCCCAAGAGCAGCAGCCCCAGCCAGGGAACTTAGGTTTACTTCCAGCTGAGACTAGACTTAGGAAGTTAGAGGAATTTTTAAATGGGAGAAAGTGCTCTTCTGGGCAGCCTGATAAGAGGATCAGAAAGGTGAAGAGACATCCCGAGTCCAGGGACAGATAGGGAGTGATGCTTGAAGCTTCTGCCAGGGACAATGTTGCTTTACAAGGTTTTCTGCTTTCTGAACTCCCAGGCTTCTTGAAACAGTTGTCTGCTAAGTAGGTTGACACAGCCCAGCCTGGGAAAGCAAGCTCAGCCTGCAGGCGCCCCCTGCTGGTAGGATTCCCGCATGGTCATCAGCAACCTGGGAAATTCCCTGAAGAGCCCAGGAGAGGGCGGAGCTGGCCTAGGAATAACAGGTGTGGTAACCCAAGCAAACTCCCACTTGCTAGGGAGCAGCTAAGAGGCCCACTCACAGGGAAAAGGTCCTTCCTCAGAGTGAGGATGCCAGTTCTTCCCCTTCCTACTGCAGAAACTGCCATTTCAAAGCTTAAAGCCCGTGCACTAGCTACCATAACAAACTGGGTTTTATCTGGACTTCCACCCTTGGTGCTGGGCCCAGGCAAAGGCTGTTTCCAGCAAGTCCCTTGCATCAGTGCTCTAGGCAGAGGTGTTCCCACTGGTACTTTCCCTGGCAGATGTGCTCAGGGAACACCTGAAGGGTGGAGACCTTGACTGCCCCTCCCCACTCTCTCTGTCTCTGGAACTGGAGGTGAAATTCAGATCTACTGAGCAGTGATCTGAGGGCCTAAGGGGGGGGGGAAGGTTGGCTGTGCAGTTGTTATTTATGCACCATGGTAGAAACTGAGAAGCAGGCAGTTCAATTTTCCAGATGTAGAGGCTCCCTGCTCCCCAGAAAGCAGAATTTTTCCCTTCCCTCATTTCCTGAAGGCCTACTCCATCATTAGCCTCGCCCACCTGTTCTACCTGGCAGAGGCTCCACCTGGCTGCACCCTCACAGGCAGGGTGCTAGGAAACGGTCTCTGGTGTGGACTGCAGGCTGTTCAGTACACCAAACCACCAGCCAGAGCTGAGTGGACAATGCTGGCAGCTCCTACACAGAAGAAGATGACGGCTCACTCTCACAGGAATGGCGGAGGTGTCAGGGGCCTCATTTGCAGAGCATGGAAGCAGTGCTTCAGCGGATATGGGAACTTACAGAGCACAGGGCTCCAGGGTGTGTGGAAGGTGGGTGCAACATGTCTGCCCAGCCTGCTGGTGAGCTCATTCAGTGGGGTGGCTCAGCCCTCTCAGAATAACTCTGCCTGGAGTAAAGTCTGCCCAACACTTTCCCCCTTTGCAAGTGACACCAATGGGAGAGTGGTCAGGGCAGTGCAGGGCACTCATCCTGAGCTGTTCCTGCTCTCCCAGCAAACATCAAATGTTCACTGAGAGCCCCATTCCCTGGACTTTGGTGATATCAGACTCCAGAAGGAATATAACACCAGAACACCTGTGAGGTGTTCTTCGATAGTTGCACTAATCTTGAGAACCGAATGCATTCCTTTCTGAAGCTCAGCTGTCTGAATGCTAGAAGGCCATCCCTCCGAGTCCAAAGGTAGTTTAGTTCTCTGAGTCCCACACCTCTACTCTCCTTATAGTAGCRTGTCAGAGAGGGCCAAGTTACCATGAATTAGCTAACAAAAATTCTACAATCCTGCATTTCTTTTCTAAGGACATTCTAGCCCAATTAGGGCCAAGGCGGGTGGGTTGGTGGGAACACACAGGAAAGGGTCTCTCTTGACTATAAAGCAGATGTCCCTGGCTGTCTTCTGTCCACGACTGGGTTCTCTGGACATGACAGCCATGTCCCCCCTACCAAAGGGGTTAAATGTCCTTTAGCTGCCATTTGCCAAGTACACACAGGATGCCTCCACTTGATGACAATGCCTTGGACAGTTTGCCTGTGTTTCCAAAGCAACAGTTTCTTTTGCTCTGCTGCCACCTGCTTCCAGAAGTCAGGTCCCCATAGCTGCCCTTGAGCACACCATTGGCCCCACTGTACCTGCCTGAGGCAGACAGAGGAACAGCAGTATGGAGAATGACTAACAGTGGGAAATAAAAGAAGAAACGTGTGATGGATCCCCTTCCTCCCTCCCTGTCCCCCTCCCTCCCTCCCAAATAAATAAGTTAATGGGTTTAGGAATGTTCCCAAAGTTCTTTCTAATCAGCTCATTTCTCCTCTTTTGTTTTAAATGAATCACGAGATTTTTTTTTCCCCCACCCTGGAGCACCTGCATTGACAATCTCCCTACAGCTGCTCCTCACAAAATAGGAAGGATGTTCCTTGTACCACAAGAAGCCAGGCTCCTTGCCTCACAAATGCTCTTGTGTTTGTTTTGGTGAAAACTCCCTGGGGGAGGTGTTAACCTCCTCGGGAGCAATCCCAAATCCAAACCTTAGACCACAAAAGTTCAGGCTCCGGCCAGAGTCCCTGAATGATTTCTGACCCCCTGTCTCTGCCCAGTGGAGCCACCATCTTCCCCAGCGAACTGCATGTGGGGCTGAGCTGGCAGCTGCTATAGGCAGTCTTTACAGAGGGCCACTTGGCCCTTGATGAAGTCCCGGCAGGGGCAGATCCTCCGGTGCCTGGGGTGGGCGCCTGCACAGCTGAAGAGCAGCAGGTCCCCTTGAAACACACAGTGCTTGCTCTTGGGGTCATAGGAGGGCTCCAGGATGTCCTTGGCCAGCTCTGAGCTTTGGCAGATCACTTCATACCTGAAGAGGAAGAGAAAAGCACATGGGTTGGAAATGCAGGGGACAGAGCTCATCCCTGTCACTGGCCACATTGGCCCACTTGCTGAGGTGTGGGAGACGCATGCAGTTCTCCTGCTGCAGAAATGAAATGGTGCCCCTCTAAGTCAGAAATTCTTCACCTCTAGGAACCTCAGCTCTGGAAAGACAGGTGTGCCTGGGTGTACACGAAGGGGTTGTCTTTGAGGCTGCTCTGTGGTAGAGGAAAACTGGAACCAACTATCTTCTCACCAAGTAGGGAATCGCCAAATAAACCATGGCCATCCTGTACCTGTGGAATTCCACACAGAACTCCAAACATGAAAAGTGTGCCCCAGCATGAGAGCTGTCCCACAGGAGGGCAGATTATGAAATAGGATGTACAATGTGGTCAACCTGGTGTGCGTGTGACTATCCAAGCCAAGATGGCTGCACACGAAAGTGTTGGCGGCGAGCAGAGGAACAGCACTGGGGCTAAGTGCTGGGTTTTTAAAGTATTTTTTTGATTAAATGTTTAAAAAGATTCCCATGATATGGCCTTAGTTTCCACTGGTGAGCAACTGGGTGCTCTCCCAGGGACTTCCTGCCCAGAATCTTGGAGTATCACATGACCCTTCAATACAGCAGATTGTAATCCAGGCTACAGAAGGAGGAGCCAAGGCTTCAGGATGAGCCAGGCCCTGCTCCTGGGGCTTGCGCTCTTTGCCATCTTCTCCCCATAGCAGAGTTGTCTGAGGGGCTGCAAAGAATACTCTAGGATTTTTGTTGTTGTTGTTGTTTGTTTCCAAAGGTACTGGCCACCTATCTCCAAGGGCTTTCCCTCTCACCTGGGATGCACTGGTTCACCCCACCATGGCTTCTCCAGAACAACAAGGCTTAGCCTGGTGCCCTGTGTGGAAGCCAGTTAGGACCTGGTGCTGCACTCAAGTTCCAGAAACGAGGTGTAGGGGGCCGGACAGACCTGGGTTTCAGTTCCTGGCTTTGTCTCTTAAGAGCTGTGCAATTCCGGACAAAGGATGGAGTCTCTGGGTGGCTCAGTGTTTTCCTCCGTAAAATGGGATAAACGATCCTTGACTGCAGGAATCAGAGTGGCGTTTCTAGAGCGCTTGGCGGAATCCGATTCTGAGTGGTGGTCGATAAATGTCAGCTATTACTACTATTGCTGCCATTGCCATCACGACCCTGGCAGGCCCTGGATGGGTTATGTCACTTTCCTCCCTTGCAGATGGCATGAATCTACACACACCAGCCATTTCCATTGCTTTGTTCACAGAAGTCTCACTTCTTGCTGGGAGGGAGGGAGATTAGAACAGTGAACTTGAGATTTCCCACTACCTCTGGGAGCCTTCCAGGTGGCAGGGAGAAGCACCGCCCTCCTTCTTTCTCCAGCCAACCAGTGGCCTGGGCCCTGCCTCCTTTGGCCAGTGTTTATCTGGCGATTACCAGCACATCTGCTGAGGCTTCTGGGACACTCCTCCAGGCTGCCAGCCTGGCTCCTGCTCAGCCAAGGCTGAAGCCCCACTGCTCCCGGAACCAGCACTCCCTGGGGCTCTGGCTTCCCTGACGCATGCCAACCGGACCCAGCTCTGAAGCCTGCTCCGGAGGCCAATGCCCCTCTTGACTTGTCCCTGCAGTCACCAGGGGTGTTCTACACTTTCTCAAGTGCCCTAACACCCCTGGCCTTGGTGCCACCTGGGAGATAATGATGAACTGGGAAGAAGGCTAAAGTGAGCATTTCATGGATTTCCTGAAAGGAAAAATGAGTCAGAGACTATGTCCTTGTCAGTGTACCAAACTGGCCATCAAAGAGAAAGGGGCATCTGGAGTTGAGCTGGGAATGAAAAGTTTACATGTGGTGAGAAAGAACATGTAATATTTCTCTTTCAAGGTCTTACTTATGTCACTTAATGTCTTCTAGTTCCATCCATTTTTGCTTCAAGTGACAATATTTCAGTTTTTAATGACTCAGTAATGTTCCATTGTGATTATGTGCCATATTTTCTTTATCCATTCATTTGTTGAGTACCTGGGTTGATTCCTTCCAATTTTGGCTATTGTGAATGGTGCTACAATAAACAGAGATGTGTGTCTCTCTTTGGGAAAAAAAAAAAAAAAAAGCTTACATGTAGAATGTGACTTTGGGACACAGATTTATGTTTATGCTACTCATTTATGTGGGTGTATTACAGTAGCTGCTGTGACCTCATTCAGACCAGCTGCCTGGAATGTGGCTCACCGGGAGTCTGGAAATCTCTACCACCACTCTCAGACCCTGTGGTGGGGGCAGAATTGCTGGAGCCATGAAAAGCCTTCCTATGCCCTCCCAGGTCACCTGTCCCCAGGCGCCTGTTCAGTCTGCTTGTGTGTGTGTACTTGTGAGTGCACACCTGTGAATGGGTCTCAACTGAGGCTGTAGCAGGTGACACATGCTGGGGAGAAGCAGAGACTCCCACCAAGGGCTCCAGCAACTGTCACTTCCTGGGGCCCCAGTGAGGGCACACCTCAGACAGCTTCCTAAAGGTTCACTGATGTGTGTTGGGGTATGTATGACCCTACGCACCTCTTGAACACCACCTAACCCCAGGTCTGAGCATCTCCAGGGGGGCCCTCCCTTTTGTGGGTGTGCAGGAACCTGTCCTGCAGCCCTGGGCAGGCAAAAAAGCTACTCCATCATCTTTGTGTAACTAGTGAGCAAAAGTCACCAGAGAGGTGCCTCACTGGATTAGACAGCCTCCCTAGTCCAGGGGTCCTCAGTCCCTAAGAGATCCCCGACCTTTTCAGGGTACACACAGGGCTGCTTGTGCCTCTCTGTCCTGGTGATATCTATCTTCTTCTCAGGGACTCCAAGCACCCTGTGTGTGTTCTCTCATCCTCTCTCCCACAGTTCCACAGTACTCTGGGACTGGCCCATGACACTTTTCTTACAGGTTGAGTTTGGGAGTTTCTGGGACCCCTCAGCACTCAGTGCACAATTTTTGGCTCTTGAAGAAGAATAAGAGAGCAAATTCTCCTCCCATGGGGCTGCCACCTTCTTCTTACCACAGGAATTAGGCTAGGAACCCCAGCACTAGGTGGAGGATGGAAGGCACCAGCCCCTCCCAGACAGGACACAAGCCTGTCCTACCTCCTGCTCCTGTTCCTCCCACTGGTCCCTGCCCCAGAGTGCCTGCCTTCTCTCCAAGTCCTGGTAACTACTCTGATTCAGGGCCATCTCCTTTCTTGGTGCCAAGGCACACACAGTCTAGATTTCACAGCTCAGAAGACCTGAGGGGCCAACACAAATGCACCTCTGCTTCAGACAGTGTTATGCCTACATCTATCCATCCTATGCTGAAAACATATCAAAACATGCACTGAATACCCAACCTACTGACCACACCAGCTTAGCCACACAGCACCTTGTGGAGCAGGTGGTTCCCTCTGGTGACAGTGTGGCTGACTGGAGTCTCAGCTTAACCCCACTGCCCAACATCGTGAGACAGTATTAAACCACCTACACAAAGCCTAGAAAAAGATCCAAATTCAAATCTGGAGCAGAGTTTCTGCTGAACATCCATATCCTCACACCAACCTATAGTCAAAAAAATTGTAAGCCGCACCATCTTATGTTAGGGGTCACCTGCAATTTAAAATTTTGGAAGATACACCTTTAAGGGGTAGCTAAGGTCTGGGGATGTGGCTCAGCAGTAGAATACTTGCTTAGCATGTGTGAGGCCCTGGGTTTAATCCCCAGAATAACAGAGGTAACCAAAATATAAAGTGGGCTTCATATTAACACATGTTCCTTTTTATGGAGCTGAGTCCTCCCCGCGCTGGGTCATGCTGCAATGATCTCTAGCACTTCAGGGGCTTTTTGCCCTTTTTAAAAGACCCCTGGCCTGCTCCTCCCTGATTCAAGATGGCCACATGGATGCTCCAAAGGACGTGATTTATGTAATCTGTTAAATTCATACTATACAGCGAGGACAGGTGGCTCTTAAAGGTCGTGGACACCCCAAGACAGAAAAAAAGCTTAAGCTCAGCTTAGAACCAAGTCCCAAGTTGGAGAAGCAAAAGTAGCCCTAGCTTGTGGAGCTGCTAATTACTAATTGGCCATGAATATGGATGGGCCAGGATTACCTCCACGCTGAGGAGGCACTCAATAGACTGCCAGATAGCTGGGTTTTTTAACAACATTATCTGTATTTACAAATGCATGAACAAGTTATTCAGTAGGGCTCTTATGTTCACAGAATTAATTTTAGACGGCTTTATTACGAAATTACCATTCATTCCAGCCTCCTGGTAAGAAAACCCAAATATCCACTGTGGGGAGGGATGGAGGAGAGAGCGATCGCCTGGCACAGGGTCTGACTGCAGGACTGTCCCACACCATGCCCCTCTCTACTCTGTGGATCTGCGTGAGGCATGAAGGAGCAGGAAAAGGCGGCAGTCTGGCCAGGAAACTGGTTTTTGAACTCTATCGCCTAGAATTGCCTGGAAGGAGGGGCCATTCTGTTCTTCAGCAAGAGCTATCCATTATCATCCTGTTGGTCACCCAGGATGTCCCCACTCTACAGCTGAGAAACTGATGGAACAGAGGGCACTAGCCCCTTTCCCAGCAGCTGGTTGCCCTTTCTGTTCCCACTGACCCAGACCCTTATCCTGGAGGCAGGCCACCTGTGTGGGCTCCAGGCTAGTTCTGAGCCAGATCTCAGTCACTGTACAGAGACTAAATGCCGTGACTCCCTCCCAGACTTGGAGGGAAGACCCCACTGCTCAGGAGTCCCATGCAGGTCTCATTCCCAGGAGGCACCTTCTTGTCCTCCCTTTTCCAGAAGAGGCTGCATATAGGCAGAACTAGGAGTACAGTGCCACATCTGTACCAAGCAATTTCAGAATTTCTATACAGTGCTCAGGGTTCTCAAAAAGCCATCTTGCCCTGGGAGATATCTGCAAACGGAGCCAGTGGAAAGCCGGCCCCAGAATTCAACATCTCTGCTGTGGAGTTGGAGGTTCCGTGTCAAAGCCAGCCCTCTTAGGAAGCTCCCTCCCCTCCTTCTTCTGGCCTGTACTTTTATGTTGATGGTGGAATCAAGGTAGCCTCTGGTTACCTACCCCATAAAAAGCTGGGTTCCCGTATAAAAAGAAAAAACAGCATCCCTCACAGCCCTGCTCAGGAGAGCATCCCTACCAGTGATGCTGGAGACCATGCATTCCAAAGGGAGTTTTATCCCATGTTTCAGGATAGCAAGACTCACAGGAGGGAGCAGGCCAGCTCAGACCACCATGAACAATAACCACAGTGGCCGGGTATGAAGCCAGAATGGGGGATAACTGAGCCCTGATCCCCAAGACCACTCTATTCCTGAAACATCTCCTTCAAACCTAGGACAGCACAACCATTGGACTGAATCTTCACAGTTAAGATAGCAGTCCTTATTGTTTATAGGCATGTATCTTGGAGAAAATCCCTTATCAGGGAAATTAAGGTGGGAGACTAGATGGTGGACCGAGGGTGGGGAGTGATAATATTTAGGAGAGCAGAATTCGTACTGAGAGGGATCAGGAGGCAGAAGGCAGAAGAAACCTCATGTGGAAATCTTGGAACTATAGATGTCAAACTCAAATGCTGATGCAAAGGGAAAGGAATGGCATCACTAAACAAACTGCAAGTATGAGGCAAGAAGTTCCAGGAACATAAAGGCCCCTTCAGATACAGCCCTGGCCAACATTCCCAGGCCTGCACCTGTGTGCTGGGGAGGGACCCAGCAGTCAGGTCTGCTGAGGCCTGATGCATGATGCACCAAAGGTTCCCGAGGAAAGTTGGAGAGGGGAGGGGACCAGAAGAGGGGAAGGTGGCACTTGGAATCTGTTGTGGGCAGTTTTGTGCCAGCTGCTCCTCCCCATTTCTCATTCCTTTCTGACTCCAAAGTTGAAGATGCCACCTCCTTCCTATCCTGCTCAGACTCTGCCGGGGGCCATCTATGGATCTGGCTGCTGCCAGAGGTCTCAGGGGTGGGTCCACCCATGGCTATGATTCTGTGCCACCTCCACTCCCTGTTCATGGGTGTGGCATTAGCAAAACCAACATCTCCCATGATCTCTAAGGCCAGATGTGGCATTATTTATGCAAATACAATGCCCCTACTCAAATCCCAAGTATACCAGGTGACTTCATCTTACTGAACACTGAAAATGTAGGGGTCTGGCTGCAAACTGCTGCCTTCACCCCATCTGTCCCCTAAAGCCCACAGCCTGGAAACTGAGAATGAGCACCTCTCAATCTGACTCTAACCCAGGAAGCTCACAGAGGCTGAGTTGACCCCCTTCCGTTCTCTCTCCCCATCCCAAGGTGCTTACTTCAGTAGGTCCTTGTCCTTGTTAAGGTGCTGGAAGAATGACGGCTCACAGATGAGCTGGTTCTCCTGGCACACCTGCTTGCAGGACTGCCCAGGCTCAGCAAGCTTCACTTGTAGGGCACTGAGGGGCGGCCACATCACCTGCCCGTGACAGAAGTCCTAAAAATGAAAACATAGCCATCAGCCAAGGGACCAAGGATGCAACTGGGCATCTCCACCTCTGCCAAGCCATCTGGAAGATGAGAGGGACCCACCCTGCTGTGAAAGAAGAGTGAACAGGAGAGTTGGGAGCCAGTTGGACACACCCCGAGCCAGGTCTTGATTTGTCTCATTACCAGCTTCCTCAACCACAGAGGGGGACGACAGCAGCATCTCCCATGCAGGGCTGGGGGTTGAGGGGTGACATCTGCAGTACACATAGCACCTACTATGGTTTGACCATGAGGTGTCCCCTTAAAGCTCCTGTGTTAGTGAAGGAATATTCAGAAGCAATATGATTCGTTTATGAGAACTGTAACTTCGGTCTGTCCTAAATTGAATGGGTGGCAACTGTAGGCAGGTGGGATATGGCTGGAGGAGGTGGGTCACTGTGGGTGTGTCCTGGAAGGGTACATCTTCCCTGCTGCCCCTAATCCTTTCTCTCTCTGCTTCCCAGCCACTACAAGATGAGCCCCTTTCCTCTACCACTGCCCTTCTGCCATGCTGTTTGGCCTCACCTCAGGCCCAAAGCAATGGAGTTAGCCAACCGTGGACTCAATCTCTGAAACCATGAGCCCCAAATAAACCTTTCTTCCTCTAAGTTCTTTTTTTTTAGGCATTTTGGTCACAATGACAAAAAAGCTTACTAACACAGTAACACACTGGCCCACAGGGGTGGCTATTCACTATGGTCACATCAGTAATGCCCTAAGGGCTATCACAATCTGCCCTTGAAGGCACAGCCTCACCCACCTGCACCAGCTGGCCAGTTCACCCCTCTCTGAGTCCCAAGACTTTGTAAGGATTTACTGAAATTTTGCAGCTACCTAGTATGACCTTGTTTTAACTCAATGACAAAATGCTGAGGCTGTGAGGTGGAGGACGCCACCAAGGACCCAGAGGCATCCGGAGCATCACCTGACACAGTCCAACATCCTTGCCAGGGACTCTGTGCTTATTGGTTGAAAACAGTGACTACTATGTCACAGGAACTCGACAAGTAGAGACATATGTGAAGGACACGGTGCCCCTAACAACATATGGGTCATATGGGGCAAAGCCAGTCTCTCTGGGATGTAGAGTGAGGAAGCAGCACGCTGGAGGGAGACGCAGGGGTGAGGGCATCATGAATGATGAGAGGCTGGGGAAGGGAGGGGCAGCCACTCTCTGACCTGGGACCTCCTGTCAGCTGTGCCCAAAGCAACCTTATGTAAGCGCCAATGATGACCCTGGTGCCCAGAGCTGCTCTGCTTGCCCAATGGACCCAAGGCAGAATGGCTCCAAGTCCCCAGGCGACTCGACCTGCTGAAGATGCTACCTGTACAGGASCACAGAGGACCTATGTATGATACTCCCTCAGGGAAGGGCCAGTCCTCAGGAGTGACGATTAGAATGCTGGGTGCATGGGTGCTTTCTGATAATGCACCCCACAGAAAGAGGGGACACATGCAAAGAAACCATCTGCAACAGCATGGCAGCATTGGAAAGATGAAGCAAAGGGCTCCATATCATCCAAAGGTTGAATTTACACAGACACCTATTTAAAGACAAATAATACACCAAATGAGGAGGTTTCCATGCACTGACATAAGAACATCTCTGAGGCATGCTGAGCAGTGAGAGGAACCAGGTAAAGGGGGCTCCCAGTGTGTTTCCATCTGTGGCAGGCGCTGGGGTGGGGAGGCACAGACATACAGAAACGTGTGTGTGCTATTCCAAGAACACCTCCTGCTGGTCATGCTGCTGCTGAGAAGGGAAACGCAGGACTAGGCTCAGGAGATTCACTTTGCAATGTGTGTCCTTCTGGAAGACTATACTTTTCCTCAGGTTTCCTTTCCCACTTTGGTGTGGATGAGGAAATTAGTCATCTCAGGGCCCAGAGCTCCTGGCACTGGGGCACACAGAGGAAACGTTCTGTCCCACCCTTGTTTGTTGCAGAGAGTGTTGCATGAGGGACCTCCTACTGCCCAGCAGGTCCTCTAGCAACGAGAAGGGTGCAGCTCCCCAACAAACTGCATCCAACAGGGGCCTCTGGCACTTCTTGTGTGTGAGTGTTTTTTATTTTTTATTTTTTTTTAAACCTTGTGCCTGTATTACTTTTTAATGAGTAAGCCAAGACACAGCAAAGAGAGCAAAGAAACCTTGCTCCTCCCCGATTCTGCAGCCAGCAGCCAGTGAGGTCCACCCTGACTCTCCCGTTTACTAGCTAGGTGAATCTTTGGGCAAAAATACTTAACGTTTGGAGTCTCAGTTTCTTCCTCAGAAAAACAGAGATAAAGATAGTGATGATTCCCTGTGCTGCTGGCTTCTCTTTGCCTCCTTCGTAAAGGAGGTTAAGCTGCTGAGAAAGGCAGCCTGCAGGTGGCAATCCCCTGGCAGGACCTTCTCTTTCAGTCTCTACAAAGGACTGCATCAGGCAGGTCTCCACATCACTCTCCCCTGATGAGGGAACTTGACTCCACCAGTCTGAGTTTGTGGCTAAAGAACAGAAACGCTTCCCCCAACAGTGGGCAGAAAACCTAGAGCCAGATTCCTAGCAACAGAAAGCACAAGACTCCAGAATGGTCTAATAATTCAGAGATAGGGAGAAATACACTGGATTACTTAGGAATGTTGAGATGCAGCCTAATCTTCTGAAAGTGAGGCACGGTGGCAGGTAAGCAGGGTGTCCTGAGACCTACACAKCCCTGGGCATCACTAGGCAGGGAGACACATCTGACTTCTTGCATTCATAGTGCTTTTGAGTACAGTCTAAGCCCTTGCTCAGCCAAGGGCAGCAGCAGTAATGTGGACCTGGACACTGTCACTAAGGGTGACAGCATGACTGCACAGACCCGATATCCAAATGGGACACTGTGCACTGATGGCCACTGTTCTTTCATATGACTGCATGGGGAAGCCTTGTATTTTATACCCTGTGCATTCCACCAGGATGACCGTCATCAGACAGGAAGAACGAACACACACACACACAATGACCTGGAGTTATTGGTTATGAGAACTGAGAGCTGCAGGGGCATTTGGAAGATGTCCAGGCCGACATTACTGTGCTGTCCACGGCTGAGCAAGGGCTGTGCAAGGGCTTAGACTGTACTTAAAAGCACTGTGAACATGAGAAGTCAGATGGGTCTCCCTGCCTAGTAGTGCCCAGGGCTGTGTGGGTCTCAGGACACTCCGTTCACCTGCCACCAATGTGGTTTGCCTGGCTGGCTAATGTAAGCATCTTTGCTTACAATTCCTTAGGAAAAAATGGATAACTTCACAGCTTTTAACTATAATAATAAAGAGATGTGAAATCCAGCACACTCCAAAGTCTACAGGACAGGCAAACAACCAGCAAACTGACATCAGACCATACCTGCCTCAGATGAAGCCAAGTGGGACTTTCTTTTTGAATAGGCCCAAAGGCCCATCTGTTAAAACCTGATCTCTGGTATATCACTACTGGGAGGGGGTAGATCCTGTAGGAGCTGGGAACCTAGTGAGAAGTCCTAAGGTAACTGGGAGTGTGACCTGAAAGTGATATTAATAATCTGGCCCCATCTTGTCTCTCTTTGCTTCCTGACCATGAGGTAAGAGGTTTTGCTTGGCTTTTTTTTTTTTTTTTTTTTTTTTTGTGTGTGTGTGTGTGTGTGTATGTTGCATGAAGTAGTGACATAGGCCCAAAGCAATGGGGCCAATCAATCATGGACAGAAACCTTTTCGATTTGTAAGTTGACTATTGCAGGCATTTTTTATAGTAACAGCAAGCTAACTAACACACCTGGATTAGGCTGGGTGATTAAAAACCCATGAAGGCTAAAGTGGAGCCTGGATTTTATGGCTTCTAAGAAAACTGACATCTCTCTTCATGAGCACCTCAGAGCAGAGGAGAGCTTCTCTGTGCCTCTTGAGTTGGAGGAAGATTAAGAAACTTTCTTATTCATTCTCAGCCTGTACAAGGCCAGAACTAAAGTTAGAACATAGATCCCGCTGTGTTGGAGAGGAGGTGATGTGGCAAAGGACTGGATGGACAAAATTTGAGGCCTTACCACGTGGCACATTACGCAGCAGGTCTGACCTCCATTAGAATGATGCTAACAGGGTGTGAGAATGGCGGCAAATGTCAGATGCTCCACGAACACTTGTCTCCATCCTTGGGCTCCTCCTGGGAAGAGCTGCCTCCACTCTGTGCAGCTTTCAGGCCCACCTCATTGGAGAAACAGACTAGGCAGCCCCAGATAAACAGATGTCCCGTACCTGGTCTAGACCAGGGCAGGGCAGGGCAGGGCTGCGGGGTCTGGCAATGGGAGTTGGCCTTAAAGCTACACCGTGGGCTTCCTGCTTCTTTGTCAACCTCAGCAGCCACCCTTCTTGGGTCCCTGGCAACAGGCCTGCTCAGCTCACTTCTGCACAGCAGTGCGGGGGGGGGGGGGGGGGGGGCTCCAGGCACCTTGCTGCTGCTCACCAGGAAGACTGTCTGGCGTCCTCCCAGGAGGCCCAGAAGATCAGGAATAGTAAAAATAGCAGCAGGACCTTCTTAAAGCTTGGGGAACCATCTGGAAAGCCTGAAGGTGTTCTCAGAAAGCACACCAGGAGTAAGGTATGAGGGACCTGGGGGCTTGGGCTGAGATCCTGGGGGGGGCTTTATAGATATAGTCTCCCAAGCTTTCTCTGCCTGTCCTCTCACATAAAACTGGGATAGTACCATCTGTCCTTCATCCCCAGATAATTCCTGTGGAATGGAAGTGAGAGGACTAAGGAGAAGGTCCCTAAGATGTTCAAGGTAATGCTCTAGGCTGGACCATTCTGAATAGTCAAGCACAATTAGTAGAAATTTGGTGACTAGTTGAAATAATTGTTAGAGAGGCATGCAGATGGAGTGTGTTCTAGATATACACAGATATACACAGCAATTTCCAATCTGGTTAACAAGCACTGGGCCAGAAGCCTCTGGATCACTGCTGCCCTGGTCCAGAGGC